AGAATGGAAGGGTGCTTTGCCACACGTGTTGTACGAACCAGCAATGCTTTCAGTACTGAACTGCAAGTAGGATGACGAAACTTTGAACTTGCCTAGGCTTCGGCCTGCATGGATACATGGAGTTTTCACTGAACCAAGAAAGCACACTCAGGTGTGTAGCTAAGTCATGATGTTGAGGCTAGTTGAAACCTCAAGTGCCTAGTGACCTAGTGGTGAGGATGGTTCGGTACCGAAACCCTCTCCTCCATAAATTGGAATGGGTATGGGCCAAAACAGTCACTTCCAAAGCCTACAAGAGCCCCCTAGTTCCAAGATGCTGTGGTTCGATGATGCTGGCTTTCTGTCCACAGGCAGAGGTGTAGTGGCGGTGATGACTTCGTTCCTTTCCTGAACCCTGCTCCCTAGAGATGCAAGTTGACTTGCTTGGCCGAGAGGGCGAGGGGGGGGGGGGGGGGNNAGGGGGGGGGGGGCGGTGAATCCAATACGGGGCTGAGGCAATGTAGTAAAAGTAATACTAGTCCGATAATGATAGTAATACTAATAGGAATATTAATAATAGTCTGATTCAACCAAGTTGGAGGCCACGTGGTCATCGTCATTAACAAACCCTTCCCTTCGTGGGGATTAGAATAGGGATCCTCATATTAAGGCCCTCAAAAGGTGGGGGTTTACTAATCACGGGTCTACATTAGGTGCTGAACACTGAATTTCTGAAGCATCAACCCTAAGCTCCATGTTTTTGAGGCCTTCACGCTTGGCAGCTACAGCAAGAAGGAGGACCTTTCGCCTGACTGAGGAGTTCTTCTACTGATATTGGATCTATATTATTCCCTTGTTGAGGGTTTAGGGTTTAGGGTTTAGGGTAGGGTTTAGGGTTTAGGGTTATTATCCCCCCCGAAACTGGAGAATCAAATGGAAAAGAAAATGAAAAGTGAAATGCAAACTGGGGGTAGATTGGGGTGGTTGATTTATGCAGGTCTTCCTTCCAGAAACTCTCACGTCACTGAGGCGAAGTGAGCAGGCCTTTTCAGAGGGCCACGCTGTAAATCGGAAGACTGGTTTATCTGGTATACTTTGAACACGCAGAACACGCCCAATTTCTGGACCAAGTGGGAGCTACGAAATAATCTCTGTCCTGTAGAATCCTAATAGCCCATAACATGAGCCCTACAAAATCCCTGTCCAATGTCAACGTAAACCAGTCGGAATCTTGAACCTCAAATTTCCATGAAGTTGATGGCAAGACCAACGCCCACAAATTCATCTTCAATGTGATTCAAGTATGGAAAACGGCTTAAGAAAAAGCTTAAAGGACAGCTCCCTGGTTATTGCGCCGCAGAGACTAGCCGCCGGCATCCTAGCAGCCGGCTTTTGGTTCGTTTTTGCAGGTCAGGCGGTTTAGGGTTTAGGGTGAAGGAATACATAAGAAAGACCTTCGTAATATAATTGAAAGTATGTGTTGTGGCCACTATCAGTGGGTGAGAGCCCAACCCAAGGTTGCATACTGACCGATGAGGTTTCTGCTGATTTCTCTGCGCGAACGGCATGGTTTTTAATCAAAAAAGTGGCACAGGGTGATTTATAGGACACGTAAACGGGGAATTGCAATGGTACAGTGTGACACATCACTGAGTCTGATAAAGACTTGTATTCGGCTCAATGTAAAGGTCTACTTTGGCGGCTAAAGGTTGCAGAACAAGTTTGTTCTATGGAAGCTGGATCCTGGTAACAGGGCTGCACAAGCTACGTACTTCTGGGGACCTCTGATCTTGATCATGTGGTCTTCTAGGCTGCATGTTATCCTCAGATTCGGCGATCTTGCGCGGCTTTGGGTGAGAGCTTTCTGCTCAGGTGGGCTGTACTTCACAAAGGGACATGATCCCATTATTTCTCAGATTGTATTCGCGTATTCTTTTTCAAAGCTTAATGGTTTCAATCAACAACAACATCAGCAACAACAACAACAACGCCACTTAGGTGGTGCCGCTACCACCAAAGCCAGATACAAACTGGGGCTGGCGCGGGCCTTTGGCAGTTATCCATGTGTTTTCTTGGGAAAGGGTTGCCTTGGGCGCTAGGGACATATGGGGATTATATGGGTATTATGGAGAAGGTACATTTTTAGAAAACCTTCATCGTTCGGGCCGAAGGAAGATTGACCATAAATCATTCTGAGTTGCAGTTATTGCGCTTTGCAGCCTGCTTCTTGGGCTTTGTGCTGATATCGTGCCTTATAAGCTCATTCTGGCATCCTCGCAGAGAGGGCACTGTAATAAGGATCCTTTCCAACATCAAGCCAAGGAAAGGACATTTTGCATATGGCGACACCAAGGTGTGGAGCTCAATCAGCCTGAAGTGAGAAATATTTGAATGCTTGGGTACTTCGATTGTGTGTACTATTCGGCTTCAGTCAGAAATTCGTGTTCTTTACTTTCTGGTGGTTAGTAGGGAACAAGGGACTGTCATCCCTACATAATGTATGCCCCCCTTCCCTACTACGCCCCAGTAATTTGGGTTGATTCTCGAGCAGGCTGCTTTGTTCAACTTCACACATTTTGAAGCACACGCATGGTGTCCCAACTACGGCGCAGTCAAGCCGCCTAGAACACATGAACATATGGGGGGGGGTGTATTTTTCGCTACGGAGTACATTTTTTTGAGGTCTATATTGAGGTCCCCCTGTTTAGAGATACTACGACATCCGTGTGCCAGTAGAAGCAATAGCTGTAGCCGTCTTTGTTGTAGTGGTAGTTGTAGTTGCATTAACAGCCCACGCAATCCCGGCATATAATCCCCTCCTGGATCTATATAGCATCCCTGTATTTCCGATCTGCAATCTAGTAGTTGCGGAGTTTTGGTATTGTATTCTTCGGCAGAGAACTAGCGGCAGCAGGAGGAGATGGTAGACGAGGGATGGAGCTACGCTGGAAGTGTGCGCGGATGTACAAGTAGCACACACTACTTGGAGGGCCAGGGCAACTTAGTAAGTTGATTAGTAACGGGTGGATTACTATATGGCTTACAGACAAAATTAATATGCCCATGAAGTCCCCCTGACCCGCCAAGTACCAGGCGTGGGTAGCGATGGATCAGCCTTGAATGATAAACTGCCAACCGGTCGCCGACGGACGGGAGTGGGGATTGAATATAGGTCTAGGTACCATAATTGGGCTATGTATGGAGAGAGCCAAGGGGATATATGCCGCAACAGTCATTCGTACTTCTCTATTCCCCAATCTAAGAGTAGTCTCCTTTTTTTCCCATTCCCTTATAAACCCCTGTGTAAGCACAGTCCCTAAGCCCTGAATCCTGGACCCTAAATCCTAAACCCTAAATCAAAAACCCTAAACCCCACCCTGTAAACCCTAAACCAACCCAGGTCGGGGACTGTGCGTTTCGTGAGGGCGGTGTCTTTAGCTTCATCAGTGTCGACTGCGGACTCCGTGTTGGTGATCGCGAGGCCCGGCCTAGACACTTCCTTGGAGGTTCTGGGTAATTGGATGTTGAAGGATCTAGGGTATTCTGGGTTTAGGGTATTTAAGGTTTAGGTTTAGGATTGATCCCTAAATCCCCCAGCAGTGCTAGATATCGGTTTCAACTACAGTTCCCTGTACTTGTGGGTTTTAATTAGCAGAATCTTCGAGTACACAGATGGTTTAGCTTTTGAGGACTTGTGGCAAGCAGTTAGCTACACTTATCACTCATCGTTTCTCTTGTGCACAAGATTATCACCACGATTTTTGCATTGCCAAGAAACGTTGTTCTGCTAGTTGCTGTTTGACGATGATTGTTGCGTTTAATACTTCAACTGAAGTCTTTCAAAGTATCCCCTATCTCATGTACACTATCCTCTTCTTGTTATAGGAACGTGCACGCGTGGCACGTGGCTTTCATCAGTAGCCATATTTTGAAACGCAGAAGTCCCACAGTGTCAGCTTGTTCAGGATGTTCAAGCACCACGGACGCGACAAAGCCTGAGCCCCACTGCACACAGGGGGCGAGGGCTGGCGACTCTGACGACCGACGACAAGGCCTGAGCCTTTGGGCGAGGGCCAGACGACGACAAAGCCTGAGCCTTCGGGCGAAGGCTAGACACAGGTGTCATCCCAGCCATGCAGCAGGTCCCTCTGACCTTAGCCTAAACCCTAAACCTTAGCCACCCTAAACCCGGAAGCCGGAACCCTAAATCTGAAACCCCTAAACCCTAAACATCCTAAACCCTATGGCCCTAAACCCAAGCATTATTCTTCACCCAAACTCTAGGGTTTGGGCCTCTACAAATCCATCCCCTATGCGTGGTGTAGCTTGTTCCCGGGGCTCCTCTCCTCAAATCATCAAGCTCCCCCACCCCCTGCTCCTAACAATGACAATTCCCCCTCTAATTAATGGTATCATATGGGAGTATCTAGTATATGTGGACTGCGGGGGGTTATGAGGGGGTGCAAATTTTGAGTCAACTCCACCATATTGCAGAGTGACCCCAGATTTCTTCCAAAACATCTCTGGGGTGGCCCCCGTTCATGTTTTGAGAAATCTCCATTGGCTAGGGAGATGGACGAAGCCGAACTCTTTCAGACTTCAAGTGCGAGGATGAGGAGGGATAAGGGTTAGGATGTAGGTATTTTGGGTTCGGGTTTTAGGGTTTGGGGTTGCTGTAGGGATTCAAGGTCTAGGGCTCTTGGCCGCCGGCGGTATATTCTGGTGATAAGTCAATGGTCACTCCCCCGAAGGAGGATCCTGAAGATATATATATATATATGTAGGGATTTCCACAACTCAGGGGCCGTATTTGGGGGTCCACACTAGCAAGTAATCATTGTGGTCTTTTTTAGGGCCCTCTATTGTTGGGCAATACCAGATATGTTTGGGCCTGGGGTTACCCAACAGGCCCTCATATCTTGTAGGGATCGAGCGCAACATTTACCGTAGGGGCTCAAACCGGGTTTCTCGTGCTATCCCCAAGTTTTGAACACAACCCTTTAGGGATATGAAGGGGTTATATGGCGAGACTTATCCCCAGCATGGAGAATCAAATGAAAAAGAGAATGGAACATGGAATAGCAACTGGGGTGATGCGTTTCTCATGTTTGCTCCCGAATCCCTAAACCCCAAACCATCACTCTGTTATCTTGCAGGACCTCATCCAAGCCAAGCTGGTCGGAGAAGTTGCGGCCACCGACATAGTTATCAATAACCCAGATGACCCTGAGAAGACTGGGGACGAGCCAACCACAACATTGGAGGCCTGGTCTAGGAGGTAATGGCTGATTTCTTTCTGTATGGGGTTTGGAGTATTTTGCTAGCGCAACTTTGGAGACAGCATACCTGCATATAATCCCAGTTTCCATTTGATTTTCTATTTCATTTTCCAGTAATAATATCACTTTCCATTTCATTTTCCATTGTCTCTTCCGTTTCATTTTCCTTTACTGCGCCCTATATCCGCTCTAACATCCCAAACTTTGGGAAATCCACCAGACCCATGCAGAGCCACCAATGTAAATTCAGGTCAGCTGCCGTTTCATGATCATTTTAGAGGGTTAGTTTCTGAGAGTCCATATGGGAGTTTCCCAAAATTAGGGGTATCTTTTGGAGGGTCCCCATAATAAGAACTATAGTTAGGGTCTATATTGGGGTCCGCTATTTTGGGAAAGTACCACAAACAAACTGCGGCCGCCCAAAGTGCCCAAAGCACACAGATCCAGACTTTAGAGCATTTCCAGCTAGCAGCCGGAGTGGTTCTTCCAATATTTGAGAGCCCGCCCGCATCCCGCCAGACCCGTTTTGATGTGGAAAGCTTAATTGGAGTAATATTAGGGTTATATTGGGGTTGTACTGGGGTTGTATTGGGGTTATATTGGGATAATGAAAATGAATGGAAACTGCTACAGCATATTAATCTCTCTTCTGGAAAGTCCAGAATATAGTCCCCCTTAAATTAACATAGAACATGGGATATGTGGGGATCTTATTAAAATATACCCAAAGCCATATTCTATCTACTTAACGGGAACTACATGTCAATCTCGGTTATGTTGCTACGTGTTGCTTTTGCTTGAGTACTTTGCTTCATGCCATGAATGTAAATTGCTCTGGCTTCTCATAAAAAGCTTGGGGCGATGTTGTATCCACCCATGCTTGCAGCACGTTTTATTTTGCGCGCGTTTGCACTCCTTTGTCGTCTGTAACATTGTCTGCGGGTAAAGAATTCGGACTTTGATGTTGCAGGCCTTGTTCGAGCACAATTTAAGGCTGTGTTGGAGGTTGCGGGGCTAAGTTCTTAATGGTCATGATGCATGCCATCCCAAATTCTTCATAGACCCCAAAACCCTCTACCCTAAGCCCCAAGCGGTACCCGCTCATTTGTGCCTCATGAGCTGCAGCTTGAGATGATATCTCATGGCCACAGGTCTCAAACTGTACAGATGAGCCCGTGCAAGTGAAGATCTTTGAGCCGGGTCACAGCCACGCTGCGGTCCTGTACTCAGGATGTGAAGACTTGTCAGGGGCTGGTAGGGAATAAGGGAATATGTCATATAGGGAGGTTTTAGGGATGGTGTTCCCTTATCTCCTACTGAGAACCAGTAAGAAGAGTCTGCTGCCCTGTAGCCCACTTCTCTCCCTTGCAGTCGCGGCTCTTCCGCAGCGCAATGGCCGAGGGCACGTGCGGGCCTTGGATTGTTTCGCTCTTCTGTCAGACTGTGTGGGCGCTACTTGTACATGCAGATTCCAGAGATCAAGGATCAGCCCTGCCACGAACCGGGTCTTCACGCTGAAGGCACAGCAACATCGGCAAAGTGTTTGATCTCTAAACCCGAAGTTCTTAAACAAGGAGCTACACGATGGAGCACATCTTGTCCATAAGACAGTCTACATCCCTAACCTACCACCAACACAAGGAAGCCACCGTGCAAAATCTCCACCTTACTGGTTCTTAGTAGGGTTTAAGGGAATATATAGGGTTTAAGGTTTGGGCAAGTAGGGAAGAAGAGAATATATATTATATCGGGATAACCACAATTTAGTTGATTTCGGCCCCTGCGTTTCTGCAAACCTCCTCAAAATCATCGGGAGATTTCTAGACCCTTAAATTCGATAAATCATGAAAAGGCTTCCAAGGAGGGAGTTGACACAGATCTCGACGTGGAGGCCGCAACTCACAACCGGTTGAGGGTTTAGGGTCGGTTTGGGGCGACGGGTTTATCATGGGACTTCCCTACTAGACCCCCATGCTACTCCCTAGGTTGCCCTTCCGATGATCTAAGGATTCAGGCAAATTAAGATCAAGAACCCATGGGTGAAGGGTGTAGAGGGCTGAAGTGTTTCAGACACTTTCGGTAGGGATGATGAGCTTTTTGGAAAGAGCCTGAAAAAGAACATTTACGTTCAGGAGATCATTTGGGCTCGTGATACCTTATACAGGAGTTAGGCGGGTTTGGCAGGATGTGCAAAAGATTGCTCACTGCCAGATTTCTGATACATGGGGGATAACGCGAGGACTATTGAGGGCCACTGCAGGGTTTGTCTGAGGTTCCTATAAATGAAAACCTCAAGCGCACTCCTCATCACAGATGTCTCGCCCGCCAGCGATCTTTTCAAACTGCTCTCAATCAACAGTATAGGAAACGTAGTTTCAATATCAACTAGACGTCCATGTAGTTGGTAGGCATTGCATTGTTAGTGGTGCAGGTCTGGGGGAGTGGGGGTATGGGGAGACGTTTTTTTGGGGGATTGATGCGATGAGCCATACCCGTGGATTGACATGTGCTCTGCTAGATAATCTGTTTGGTGACCCTTGTCTCTGTTGAGGATTCCCGGAGTAAGGATCTATAGGCCCCCTTAAGTAGATAGATAATGGTTTTAGGTATATAATGATAAGATCCCCACATACCTCATATTCCATCTACTTAAGGGGGACTGTAGGGTCTAGGGTTTAGGGGTGGGTTAAGCGGTCTCCATCATTGCATAGTTTTAACCTGCTTCAATGCCTGTGACTTTTGCACAGATACGCATTGGCAACAAGAAGGCCAAGTGTGAGGTGGTGGGAGACCAGGCAACTTTGGATGCACTGTTAGGGTCTGGGTTGTGGACATCAATTATGTCGAATGAGTACTCTTCTTGCAGTTGCTATGACTAGGAATGGCGCAGTTCCTCTTCGTAGCGGTTGCATGCGTTGTACTTGCCAAGTCCAACATTGGCAGCAGTCGCCTGGCATTGTTTGCAACATCTTTTCATCCCCAACAGGTCCGATTTTGACTGGCACTGTCAGCATGCCATAGCACGCCCAACCGTTTACAGTCGGGCTGGCAAGCTCAGATGCCAACCACGCTGCGAAAGCTGGATGATGGAATGGTCAACCCAGATTTGGATGACTTGGTCACGTGAGGGATACCACTAGCAGTTTTCTCCGAGACATAGTTGCTCCTTGGAGATCCTTACTACCATCTCGAAGATCCTTCCTACCACGATCTGCCTGCTGTGAACGGCTGTATAAGGGAACGGGCATGTGGTAGTTTCCCAAAATAGGGGGACCCCAATAAAGACACTAAAATACTATAATCCTTATTATGGGGGACCCCAAAATGGTACCCCAAATTTTGGGAAACCCTAAACCCTATATATCCCAACATAACCTCTTTTTAACCCCTATAACCCGGTCAAAAAGGACCCCTGATTTTGGGAAACCCCCATGTTCTGCAGGTCATCTTCGTGGATGGACTCATGGGTGATAATTAACTGTGTTGCTGTTAAGGAACTT